AATGGAAAATGTCCATCAAAGGAGCTAAAATTTTTTAAATATTTTGAATTAATATCTCTGATAGAAATTTTCATTCAAAAATTCCCTCAGAAAAGTTAAAATTTTTTTAAATATTCAAAATTAATAATTTATAAGTTTCTCATAAAATAATTATAATTCCACAAATTGATTATACTTATTTGAAATTAAGAATAATAATTTAACAATAATTTTTGAATAAATGTAACTTGTATCTTTATCATCAATAACTAATAATGTTAAAATCTCTGGGATTATACCTCCCTTTCTTTATAGGAACAAGCTCTTGATGGTTTTTAATTCTAGTAGAGTACCTTTGTTGATGTTATTATTGATCTTTGGATTCATTGTAGATTAAAAGTACTTATCTGATTACTTTGTTACCAGATTTAGTTTGTACTACCCACAGCTAGAATCGACACTTTGATAGAAAAATATGATACATAATTTTCTTGAGAATACAAACAATGGCCAAACCGATCCACCTGAGCAGAACAATCTAAGTTCAACTAAAATAATTATAGGAAAAACCTGAATTAAAATTTATCAATAAAAAAGCCAAAAATGCTTATGCAATTGATTTTAGAAAATCTTATTTAAACCCTAATAAGAGCCTAATTATAAATACAATTCCCACTCAGATTGTCTTATCTTTGAGGCTTGGATATATATCTCAAATCTCTATATTTACTTGCCTAAACTTTATCGATTCTCTTCTCAAATATGGTTAGAATAGTTGAAAAGTTTGTTGACTTCTTGTTAAAAAGTTCTAATTGAATTTTAAACTTTTTGAGGTATTTTTTTTCCTCATCTTCTAATAAAAAATAGTCTTCTTTTTATAGATAGGAGTCATAACTAAGGAATGGAGGACTTTTGAAAGATAACACCCTTTAAAAAATAAGGTTGTCTTCCTAAAATAATTATAAAAATTTAAATTTTACATTCTAAATAAATCTAAACTTAATCTAAAAAATAATAAAAATATCTGTAATAAAATCTAAATCTCCCAAAAAAATTCTCCTGCGTCAACTTCCCCATATCCAATAGAAACTGCAGTAGGTGTTAGTGGTTGTTGACCCATGGCTAATTCAGAGTGGTAATGTAAGTGTAGCTGAGGCAGGCCTTTCGCCATTCTAGAGATTGAAGGAGAATTTTGCGATGTTGAGCGATTTTTCTCAATTTTCTTGCGTAAAGCTAACATAGTGATGTAAGTACAGCTCCAGGATCAAGGCATTGGTTTTCTCTGTCTGTCCGTTCATTTAAGGGTGAAAGCTAGTTGATATAAAGAGATTAGAACCCTGCAAAGGAAATAGTTCCAACGAGAAATGACCAATAAATTGAGGACATCTTGGATTCTAATCCTTCTAAGGACTCTACAACCTACAGGAGACCTTGAATTATAAAAAAAGAAGCTTGGAGTCTCCTACAAATCATTGTCCAATTTTCAACCAAATGGATTTTGATAATACTTAACAATCATTTTAGAATTGGAGATTCCACTTTCAAGAAGGGTCAAACATTATTTAATCTGTTTTTAACCATCTTATGATGAAGAGTTAGAGATCTTAGTGGTTCAGGATTAGTTGGTGCAAGAAGACCTAGATTTATTCCTACATTCTTGTTAGGGTTAGATTAAGAATTTTTTTTAGATTACTTGTAAAGCATATTTAATTTTCTATTAAATAATTTAATTTAGTTTTTCCTCAATACTTGTTGAATAAGTTTTGATCTTTTGATTATAATTTTGTGATATATTTTGGCGGTTGCTTGCAATTCAGATAATTATTGATCAACTTCATATTATTTTTGTTAACACTTATCATTAAATTTTAGGAATTTTTGGGTTGAGTTGATTATTTTAGCATAGATTTTGCTTAATTATTCTTTTATAATAATTTTGTGGATTTTGGAAACTTATAATAAAACCTGTGTAATCTTTGCAGATTTGTTTGATGTGAAGCTTTCTAAGTAAATTTTGCAAGAGAATTTTAAAAAAAGGGTAAAAAAGGAAAAAAGAAAGGATTGTTGAAGAGATTTTGGCTGACTGAGGAAGGAACGAAATCTTGAACTTGTCTAGATATATATAAAAGGGGAAAGTCTGGTCAAAGGATTCGTGCACGAGCCTTGGAGCTCAGTTGGCTAGATTTTCTTAGTCTAAAGTTATAGAGAAGACAGGGAAACAAAAATACATTGTTAGAATATTTAGTTTTCGTTCTTATTTAGATTTATTTTTAAATGATAAATTATGGGATGTTTTTATTTAATAAATTTGGTTTTTATTTTCTTTAAGTATAAACTAATTTCTATTTTCTACGATTACAACAAAACTTAGTACATATATCAGTATTTTTGAATTTAATTCTATTCTAACGATTCTAAGTTTGAGTTATTTATTCAACTCTCCTTTTAATACTTTTAATTACCTGATCAACAGTTAAATTAATTTATGAATTGGAATGAGTCTCGATGAAAGAACATTCAATTAAACCTGAGTTAAATATCTTATTCAACTCTATTTTTAATATTTCAATTACCTAATCAACAGTTTGATAGATTTGCGAATTGGAATAAGTCTCAACGAGAGAATATTTAATTAACTGAGCTAAATAACTTAGGTTTAAATTATTTCCGTGAATGAATAAACTAATTTGCATGTAAAATAAAAATATACAAATACACCCTAATAGCTAAGATTGTGTCTGTGCTTAATAAATCTAGTTAAATTTGATTTTCATAGAAATATAATAAATTGTTTCTTAATTAGGTGTTTTTATATTATTTTGAAAGCAAAATATAAATCATTTAGTTCTTCAGTTCAATATTTCAACTTACTTGAAATCAAGGTGGGTTAATTTAAAAGCCAATTGAATGTTTAGAAAAGTTGAAATCCTCATTTTCGTTTCATTGATATTATCTCATCTCTAGTTCTAAGTGTCAAGTTAATTTTCATTTTAATAAATTTTTATTTATTGTTTAATTTCTAATTCGCAATTTAGGATTAATAAGTCTAGTTAAAGTTGATTTTCTCAAAAATATAGTAAGTAGTTTTTAATTAAATGTGGTTATATTATTCTAAAAAAATAATTTAGCTCTCCAGATTAGTTTAAAATTCAATTGAATGTTAAGGGATGTTGGAATCCTAAGTTTCTTTTAAATGATGTTATCTCATCTCTAGTTCTATGTGTCAAGTTAATTTTCATTTAATTAGATTTTAATTTATTGGTTAGTTTCTCATTTGCAATTTAGGATTAATAAATCAAGGTATAGTTGATTTTCATAGAAATATAGTAAATTGTTTTTAATTAGTTGTGTTTATATAATTTTGAAAGAAAAATATAAATAATTTAACTATTCTTATTAATGTTTCAATTTATTTGAAATTGGGATTTTTTATTTAAAATCTAATTGAATGTTAAGAGAAGTTGAAACCCTAATTTTCATTTCATTAATGTTTATCTTATCTTCAGTTCTATGTGTCAAATAAATTTTCATTTTAATAAAATTTTAGTTTATTGTTTAATTTCTTATTCACAATTTAGGATTTATCTGAATAACATTAAGTTATTTTAATGTTAATATTTAGCAAGTTATTTAGAGATTATACTAGTGTGGGAATCATACTTTATTCATTATATACTTGTCACAATATATGTGCATTTGTGTTTATAAATTGCACAGGATGACGCACTCACATGAACACTAAAAGATCCAATATTAATTTTATTCTGGTTCAAAGTGAAGAATTAGAGAAAAAAGTTTAATTGTACGCAAATAGAAATTTAGAGAAAAGCACAGTAAGCCAACCAAAACCAATAAAACACCACACAGGGACATTTTTCAATTTGATGGTATTTTTCTGAAGCAGCATGGTGTAAAACATTTTAAGCCTTTTATACTTTTAATGGTCTTAAAGTTCTTCTATTTTAGTTTTCCTTCTCATTAAATAGAGCAAAAATTATTTTACTAATTTGATTCTTCTATATTTTATTTACTCGTGAACTATACAATACATATTACTTAATTTGTCATTAAATACTATTATATCAAATAATGAGAGGACAAAATAATACTATTCACTTTTTGCATCAATCCTATTATTCATCGTTCAAAATATAATAACAACTTTTAACATTTTTTAATTGTAGTATTTATTCTTATATATGTGTGACAAAAGTTAAATTTTTTGATTATATTAAGTAACCAATAAGAAATTCAAATGGTTAGGATTTGAAAATGATTCTTGAATATTTTTTTATTAAATTCGAATTATTTATTCATAACTAGTAACCTTTTATTTAGTTAGGTTTTATATATAATCTAAATTAATTTTGTAAAATTTAGCGATGTTTTAATTTAATGTTTAAAACTAAATACATTTAATAATATTTATAATTAATTATAATATATTAAATTAAATGATTTTAATTTTAACAATTAAGTATTCTAATAGTAATATTTTAAAATTATATATTTAAGATTTGGAAATTCAAGAAGTAAATGTAAAAGCCAATTAAGAATGTTAGTATCTAGATGGCTAGATGATAAATTATATAATTCAGGGGGTAAGCAAGACAAAGAAAGAAGTTAAGGGGGGTAAAATGATTTTTTGCTCTATTATATATACTCTAGCTTTTGCTTGAGAGACCAAATTCTTTAAACTGTTTATATTTGGACCTTAACTTGTTTCTTATTTAAATAATAACGAGAAAAATAAAGAAAAGGAATAAGAAATGGAAGGAGTTGTCAAAGTAATTATCAAAAAGTTTGGTCATCTTCGGAACTTTTTGGCTTCGAAGTCATAATGGGTTTGCTCATGTTTTCTTGACTGTCACATCAACGTACTTTATTTGCTTATACATAAGATGTTTCTATTGCAAAACAAAGGAAATAACCATGGCAGGATAAGCTTGGGGCAATGCAGCATCACAGAGCATGAACATCACAACTTTATTTAATTTTATAAATGAACTATGACTGACTAGCTAGCACCTCTCATTGGAGGAATCCTCAGGAGCCACAGAAGCTGTTTCATTCCTGCTCTTGAAATCCTCAAGGTAATGTTGGTACATGTACGAAACAAAACCCCAGATGGCCAGAAGCAGGGACATCACCTTAATTCCATTCATCTTGTCATGCAAGAAAATAGCAGCACCTACAGGGACTATGGGTATGGTTAGAGTAGTAATCACACTGCTGAAGAGGGAGGACACACTGAAGATTAGGCCTACGGACCCAATCGAAGAGAGCTGCCAACAAATAGCTGTCCACACCAGTGTCATTACGTATGACACCTTCCCCGACTCATAGTCATCCATCTCCTTCCTCAGCCCTTTCCATTCCCCGCTTGCGAAAAGCCCCACCACCATGGCACAGCTTGCTATTAGCGACTGGTAGATTATCAATTTAATTATTACTCCAAATGTCGCTTTTTTTAGCACCTGTCGGTAGAAGAGCTGTGCTAAATTGACCATCAAGGCTGAACTTGCTGATGCTGCGACAGTGCACAAGAAGCCGAGTATGTACTTTCCTTTGGAGACTGAAGATCCTGTAGAGCTGGTGTTGACAACAAGGAGAACGGAGGAGATAAGGAGGACAACCAGAGAATTGATTATGAAAGGAGTGAGCTTCTGTGCGTTGATGAAGAAAGAGAAGAGGGCGGTGAAGGCCAATTGGCTTGCGGAGACGAGGGAATATGTGGAGGCAGGGAGGTATTGGAGTCCCACAATAGACAACAAGCTACCTCCTGCTTGGAACACTCCAAATGAGAGATAGATTGATGTGAGGAGAATAGCAGAGGGCTTGTTTGGACGTTGGTATCCTTCTTCTGTCAAAGGTCTTTTGGGTGAGATGAGGAGAAAGGGGAGGAGGATCACAAACCCCGCAAATTGGACAAGGGCAGCTACCCATTTGCTCTTGCCGCCTTTCTCAAAGTAGAAACTCCCCAACAGCGTGGCAACTGATGCGCCGGAAAGCCCAAACAATGAGTAGAGGCCAATTTTGAGCCATTTCTGGACAAGAGGAACCGCAGGATGGTAGTTGGCATTCTCATTTGTTGGGATCGGCGAGGTTTCTTTAGTTTCCTCTACTGTTAATTATCATCAAAGAGACAGGCAGAGAATAAATGTAAGTGTCCTATTCTAAGCATAAATTATTATTATTATGATTATTTGCATGAGGACTTACCTAACACAATTTGCATTTGCTCTTCTCGGGTTTCCCCCATGTTGGAGATGACAAGGTCAGCTGAAAGAAAGAGATAAGAAGAAACAAATTCTTTAAGTTGTGGCGGGGTTTTGGCGAAGAATCTTAACATTTTTATACCTGGCTTCATCGACTACATTGCCAGTATGGCGTCTCACCATTATTCAAATTGTCGCCGCATGGACGGCTTGACAATTCTGAGATCAAAGTAAAAAGCATAAAACAACAATAAACTGAAGATCGCATCCGGGTTAGTCAGCAACTAAATTCTTTGACCTATTTGGTAGTTGGCCGTCTTACAGGGACTTGAAAAGTCAATTTTCCGGGTCAAATTAAAAATTTCCCAATCCAAATTGCAAGAAAACTAAAAAAGAGAAATAGAAAAGGAAAATCTTGACGTTGTGGATATTTTAATTAAAATGTTGCATAAACATTTACCACTTGGACATTCTCTTTAATGTTTTATAGAATTTTTGAAACATTGACTGGCAATTTGAGCTAAAAATCAAACATCCTTTTTTTTTTTTCTTCTGTTAATTTTGTTATAATCATCTCACTGGTTCACCTAGGAGTATTTAAGAAACTAAACCACACCGAATAAACTGATTAAATCGCGGTTATATTTGTTTTGTAAAGATATTTTTTTTATGTGATTTGTTTTAAAATTTGACGATTAAACAAAATATAATAGTTGAACTAAATTGTATAATATAATATAATATATATTTATATGTATATATATAGTGCTTAAGAGAATTTAATACCATTACCAATTTTTTCTTTTTGTTTTATTTTTCCAACCCCATATGTATAGTGTTGGGAAAAAGTTTAGCAAACTTTAGTTTAGAAATTTTCTTTTGTAGAAACCAAAAATAATGGAAAATTACCACAAAAAAAAAAATGAAAGACCAAGTAGATCTGCAGGATGATAAATGCAAAATGGAATATGATTTTTTAAAAAATGAAATTATATCACAGTATTAAATTATTTATATAAGACATGCTAAATTTGGAAAAAACAAAAAGAAAATTAAAAAGAAAAAGTTCGCACCAAAAATAAATAGACACACTCAACAATTCTGAAGAAAGAAACACTGAACCAAACAACAAAAGAAAAAAGAAAAAAATAGATTTTGCCTGTTTCCTTCTTCAAGTCTGGCAATTTTAAAAATAAAAATGGAAACAATTTTCTCAGCAGGGAAACTTATACAATTTTGGAATTATATAATGATTTAACAAAATTCATCCAGTACATAACTGTCAAATTCACAATTATGGGAAGGCTCTATTCCATTCGATCGACTCATCATGCGGTCATTTATTCACTAAGATAACAAGGGTTGTCATGCACGTTTGCATTACCAATTTTTAAAACAAATAAATAATTAAACAAAAAGAAAAGAAGTTTCTTCGGAGTTATTTCTTCTAGATACACACGTAAACTGAATTTGTGATCGAATCAGCCTTGACAAACAGTAAAAAGAAATATTTACGAATCTTCTTCTCTCCACTCATTCAAATACGCGTGCTTCGTCTTTTTGAACCCAAAATTCGACTCCCCTTCTGCGGACTTTTTCTTTGGGCGTTTCTTTTTCCTTCTTGGTGAGTTCTAAGCACCTGGACAAGGGTACTACGATGGGAGGCGTTCCGGTTGTACTCTAAGAAAAATTTAATTTAAATATGTCACATCTCAGCCTAGCATGTGACTACGTCTAAGGCTGACCATCAATCCTTATAAGTCTCAGATTATATTTATAAAAACAAACTATTTAGTATTAGCAAAATCGAACATAACAATTAAACATAATCCACTCGAAATCACTATTAAAATCTTATCTGAGTAATACATAGAGTAGTTAAAGTACAAAAAGGAAAGTACACAAAATGCCCATGCCTTGTGTACAATGCAACAAACATGGTACCTGCTTACTCGGAATGTACCAGTACCCGATTAGATTCATGATCTGGAAATGAGGGAAAAGGAGTACATATACACTCAATGAATGATAATACTATTTCACCATGTGAGGACATGCATAGTGGCGTAACAACCATGTCTTATGCCTCTAAAATCAAAACATAGTTTTATCAAAACACAGGTCCAAGGATGAACTCATGTCTGAAAAACGAAACATACCACAAATCTCATCTTACGATCATCGTAGCATGTCGGAGGTACTAGAGTCACATAGCACATATCACATACGAATTTCATATCAGAACTAAAATCAAAATCACAAAAGGCACGTAGTGCTGAAATACTCTCGATATGAAATTTCAGAAAACATATGCACATATATATGTATGGACAGAGGCATGATTTAATTTAATATCAAATACTCCACAAAGTCTAATGAATATTTAAAACAATACATGTCTTGAGCTAAATTTTAAAAGTCATAAACCAAGTTATGTTAGGTGAGGGAAAGCCGGAATTTAGATACATATCATAGAAAAGTAATATCACTCACCGTACACATCAAAATCGTAATTTTGAACCTCTGAGTAACAATTCAAAGGTCACAACGCATCTGCTCCGACGTATCTATAACCACCAAGAAAATGAAAAAATTATAACCAAAACTAGGACCCACCCCACAAAAGACTCAATTACCAAAAAGATCCCCAATCACGCATCCAAGACAGGGTCCTCATCCTCCTAACTCAGAACCAGCCATCACCTAACCCCATTCCATATAAAACACGAGGTGGACTAACCTCCAATACCCATGAATTGGCCTAGACCGGCCTCAAACAACCCGCAATTTAACTAAACTGACCATAGATCCCATAGAGCCGAACTGAACCGACAATAAACTCTACAAAACTTGGCTGAACCAACAATTATTTTGATGAAATTGGACTGAACCAACCTTAAATCTCACGGATCTAGACTAAACCGACCTTGACTGTCACAGAACCGAAATAAACCCATTTCAGTGGTTGATGGTTTGGCCTAAACCAGCCTCTAAAACCCTAAAATTGGACGGTTCAGTTACGACACATCAAAATTCATGATGAAACGACATATTCCCAAACCCCCCCCCCCCCAACGAGCTCAAATTGAACCTACCTAACATGTTGAGCCAAAACTTGTCTGACCCCACTTAAACAAACTAAATATCCACTTGAACTGGCCGTTTTAGCCCAACTGAGCTGACTAGACGACTAACCTAGGACAGACTTAGCACTCATCTAGGTCTATCTCCTTCATCTGGAAACCAGGGTCCCTGACCCAAGTTTTGCAATTGTAACCCAACACACCCCAAGCCAAAAATATCCAATTTCAAGGCTTACCGAGACTGATCAAAGGTTGAAAAATGCAAAACTGACCCCAATGAGATGATTTCCAAGCTGAATCAAGGAATTGAGCAGCTTGAATCTTCAAATTTTGTAAAACACCCAGTTTAGCTCCCTTGGGGCTGCTGAAGAACCCAGGTGCTATTCCTCCCCAATTTTCACTCCTCACATGAAATTAATTAGTGCCTTTGACCTTATAAGTTTCGAACACTCAAATCTCATGATTAAGGCCAGTTGTGTCTACCAAATTGGATGGAATTTCAGCACCTACGATGTTTGGTCAATGACCAACCAAACTTCTGACTTTGTCACGATACGATCCTCCTGATTTTATTTTCCTTCAATTTGGGCCTGCTACCATCTAATTCTGAACCCTAGACTTAAGTGCCTTCCAACCCCGGTTCTCCCTCTTTCACTTCTTTCAATTTCCACCTTTAAAATTTTGAATTTGGCCCCAACTTCTCTGTAACAACTCGAATTTTATAATTTTAAATAATAGAGACCAAATTGAGAGAATTAAAATGTATGGGGGCTAATCAAAATTTTGTTAGGGACCAATCTGTGAGGGAGCAAAGTCAAGGGACTAAGTCTGCAATTTTCAGAAAACTAGCATGAACAGTGAACTGAATGATGGTTTTCTCTGATTCAGCCACGTTTTGTAATGATTTGGATCAGTTTTATGCACCCTTACGTGCGTTTTTAAGGGGTCAACCGAACCCTTCAATCAATTGGAATTTTTTGAGCGAGAGAGAGTGAAAATTTTTCTGGGTTTTGGCTGGTAAAGGGGACAGTGGACTGAATAGCTTCTCCAGGCTTTTGCTAGCTTATTGGCAGCTTTTTCTTCAAATTGAGGGTGGCTTGGAGCTTGCCTGGTTCGGATCTAGTTTTTGGGGGTGTTAATTGGTCCAGGTGAGTCAAATTTTGGTTGAATTTCTTGGTTGTTTTTCGGTTTTAACCGGTTGTAGGTGTCAGACCTGCAACCGAGTTGAACACTCGAGTGTCGAGCAGAGGGGATGAGACCCGAAAGGGTCTGGGTCTCCCGTGTTTGGGTTGGTCCAGGCCGTTTGGCTTAAGCTCAGCCCAGTTTCCTTAGTGGCCCGCGGGCTTGAGCCGCGGGCTGGTAAAAAAAAAAAAAAAAAAAAGGCCTAGGCCGCGGGCTGGCCTAGGCCTGTTAGGCCCAACGAGTTGGGTCGAGTTGACTTGAAGAGTCAACTCGACCTTGTATAGTTGAGGCAAGTCAACCCGTCTAAGTTAACTCAGTGGGATTTTGGGGATATGCTATCCTCGAGAATAGTATGGGATAAGGGAGATTGGGGATAGCTGGGGATTAAATAAACTTGAAATTTTTTGATAGGGGTTATGAAAGGTGAACTGGCTAGAGTTGACCGAATGTTTAACCGGTCGGTTCAAGGTGGTTTTGACTAGTTTTCTTGGCAAGTGGACCGGTTCTTGGTTCATTGGATTGAGGGCTGTCAAACCAAGTGGGTTCGAGAAATTTTGGGTGGCCATTTCAAGGTGAATCGGCCGATTTAGTGTGTTGTCCTTCAGGTGACCGGTTTACCAGTTTTTAAACCAGTTCTTGGGGAGGTTGAACCGGTTCCTGGTTTAGCATGATGAGACCTGGTAACTGTGTAGTTTAGTGATTATTGGATGTCCAGTTCAAGATGAACCAAGCTCAATTCGTGTACGAGAGCTTGGAGTTAGGGTTTTTGATCCAGTTCAAGGCTGGTTTAATACCTTTTTGGCTAGTTTAAATTGGTTCTTAAGGTTTTGGGGCCTTCTAAATCCATTTTTGAGGGTTTCGTGTCCGATCTAATTGAGTTTGAGGTA